ATCCAGATAACCATCAGCTGGTGAATAAATAAATTATACATTGTATTCCATACAGTGGAATAATATTCAGTAATTAAAAGGAGTGAAGTAGTGATTCACACTACGAGATGGATGGGCCTAAAAACCCAATGCTTAATGAAAGAAGCCAAACACAAAAGGACACATATCGTATGATTCCATTTATATGAAATATCTAGAAAAGGCGAATCTACGGAGAAAGCAAAGCAGATTAATGGCTTCTAAGGGAGTGGACATTGATTGGAAACAGGCATGAGGAAACATATTGGGCTGATAGATACATTTTTAAAACTGCATTATGTTGATGTTTGCACAACTGTAAATTTGCTAAAAGACAGTAGGGTATGCACTTAGATTTGGCAAATTTTATGGTTTTTAAATTATACCTCAGTAAAGCTGTGGGAAATAATTAAACAGCATGGAGAGTAGCTGACAAAACTTTGGCAATGTATCGATCATTGTAAGTTGGGTGATCAGTTACAAGGGTTCATTATACTGTTTCTCTATTTTTGTGGATGTTTGAAAGTTTTCATATCTTCTTAAAAAATAAATATGAGAAGTAATAGTTTAAGTGCTATCAACTGGGCAGTAGCATAACCAGAAAAAGCAAAAGATAAAAATATAGAAAAGGGACCATAAGAAAAAGAAATTGGAATTTATGCCTCATTTTTTTTTAAGATTTTATTTATTTATTTGACAGAGAGAGAGAGTTCACAAGTAGGCAGAGAGGCAGGCAGAGAGTGAGGGGGAAGCAGGCTCCCTGCTGGGCAGAGAGCCAGATGTGGGGCTCGATCCCAGGACCCTGAGATCCTGACCTGAGCCAAAGGCAGAGGCTTAACCCACTGAACCACCCAGGTGCCCCATGCCTTGTATTAAAGAAAAATCTGTTTCAATTGGAAAGTGCCAAAGATGAGATATAAGTAATAACTTACACGTAGGTACATTATAGTGAGATCAAGAATATCAATTATAAAAGAAAATCCTAAAAAAAACTAGAGAGATCCTATTACATACACATGAACAAGGATCAAATTAATATCAGAGTTTTCAACAACAACAGTGGGTACAAGATAAAAAGGCTCAAAGTGAAAGAGGTTTAAATGAAATACTCAGGAGAAAGAAATCCCAGGAAATGTTGCAAGGGATATAAAAAGTAAAGGTGATTAAATAAGCTAGTAAAGTTGCTGTCTTAATAACTATAAAGCTAAGACCAAAGAAGTGAGAGTGAATGTATACATAATATCTCAGACTTAAAATTCTGTTAAAAATCATACTCAGCATGTTCTCTGACCTTGACAATTATGATGGTATTAATGACAAAAACATAAGTTATTCCACAGATCTGCCAAGTAAAAACACACTGCTAAATAATTACTGGGTTAAAGAAGAAGAAATCTTTTTTTTTAAATTTTTTAAATTTTTAAATTTTAAATTAAAGATTTTGTTTATTTATTTGTCAGAGAGAGAGAGAAAGCAAGCACAGGCAGACAGAGTGGCAGGCAGAGGCAGAGGGAGAAGCAGGCTCCCTGCCGAGCAAGGAGCCCGATGCGGGACTCAATCCCAGGACGCTGGGATCATGACCTGAGCCAAAGGCAGCTGCTTAACCAACTGAACCACCCAGGCGTCCCAAGAAGAAGAAATCTTAATGAGCATATAAAAAAAAATCCAAACTATATGAAAATAACAATACTACCAATAAAAAGTAAAGAATGCAACAGAAGTCTCACTTGGGCCAAAATTATATAGCCTTAAATATCTATATGAGTGAGGAAGAAGGGGTGAAATTATTTACTATGAATTTAACTTGTAGTTAGGAGAAGAATTACTAAACTCACAATAAAGATATACTGAATGGGAAGAAATCAGAGAGGGAGACAAACCATAAGAAACTCTGGACTCTGAGAAACAAACTGGAGGGTTACAGAAGGAAGGGAGCTGTGGGGATAGGGTAACTGGGTGATGGGTATTAAGGAGGGCACATGTGGCGATGAGCACTGGGTATTACACACAACTAATGAATCATTGAATGCTACATCAAAAACTAATGATGTACTCTATGTTGGGTAATTGAACATAATTTTAAAAAATTAAATAGGAATGAAAAAAAAGATATAATTAAGAATAAGAATTTGAAAAAATTAACTATAAAACAAAGATAAAGCACAAAACAACAAAACAAAACTTGGTTCTTTGAAAAAAAACTAACAAGGTAAATAATCTCTGGAAGGGCCACCAAGGGAAAAAATACAGAAGCCAAAAACAAATAATACTACAGATGAAAAAGTAAATGTAACTGCAGATAAAACAGATATAATATCAACAATGATATACCGAGAATTTTGAAAACCTAGATGAAATGGATAAATTTCTATAAAAATATAATTTCCCCAAATTTGAAATTTCAAGACAGGAGAAATAAAATTGAAATAGTTAGAAATCTCATGAAGAAAAACAAGAGAGACCTAGATGACTTTATTGGCAAGCTCTATGACGACATCTTTTTTTTTTAAATTTTTTTAAAGATTTTATTTATTTATTTAACAGAGAGAGAGAATGATCACAAGTAGGCAGAGAGGCAGACAGAGAGAGAGGGGGAAGCAGGCCCCCCGCTGAGCAGAGAGCCCAATGCGGGGCTCGATCCCAGGACCCCAAGATCATGACCTGAGCCGAAGACAGAGGCCCAACCCACTGAGCCACCCAGGTGCCCCTCTATGACCCTTTCAAGGAAATTATCATTCTAAATATTACACAAACTTTTGTATTGTGATAAAATATATATGTAACATAAAATTCACTATTTTACCTATTTTTAGGGTTGTAGTTCTGTGGCATAAAGTACATTCAGGTTGGATGGATAGTAAAAGAAACCTCAGGATAGAGTGATTTCTAGATATTTTGATAGGATTTTTTAGGTATTTAAAAAGAAAGCAGCTTTTGAAGTGAAACTTCTTTCTAGGAAAGAAATAAACCAAACCACTGATTTTCTCCTCCTTCCTTAGGACTCCTTGGAAGAGACTGAGCAAGGTGTTCATGGCTTAGTGTCCTCCCGGTTTTCTGCCAACACCCATAGTCTAGCAAGTGGCCTGTCAACCGTAAGCACTTCTCTAGCTTGTGACTGGAAGCTTCTTCTTTCCCTTTTTGGTTTTCTGTATTTTTCCCAAGGGAGAGGGGAATGTTCTTGAGAATATGTGTGACAGTGAGTTAAAAGACACTATAATCTGCTGCTTGTCCTTTGCCCACAGAGTACTTTTTGGTCTAATTTTGCGTGAGCTTTTCCATCTCTCTTCTTCCATGGTCCTCACCCAGTTTTTAAAACCTCTTCACTCCCTAATTCAGGCTCTCATCAGCTCAAGCCCATAAACTGTCACAGTTCTCTGATGATGGCTTTCTTTCCCTGCCACCATTCTGTCCGTTTCGAACCACCCACCATGCTGTTGCCCGTCATTTTCCCAAAATACGTAACTAGTCAGCTTTCTCTCCTCCTCAGACACTGTCCATAGCTTCTCACTCACTGCCTGTAGAATAATGTCCCTTTTTATTTTCATGTTCAAGGCTTTGCTTGAGAGGCTGTCTTTAGGGGCCCCCGTGTCCGCATACGCATCTGTGTGTATGTGTCTGTAAATCTTTTTCTTTGGTCCTCTGATTTCTGTCCATTGCTCTAATACCCTTTTCTCTTTTGACCTTTGGGTGACTTTCTTAAAGAATTTTCAACCAGGCTGTAACAGGAAGTGGACCTACCTAAGTGTCCCTGATGCTGACTCAGACACTGTGAGTTTTCAGTCTTTCCTTTTCCTTCTTTCCAACTATGCTTTGCAAATTTCATGGTATGTGAAATCTGACTAGGTGGGCAGGTTTTCCAGCATTTATCATTTTCTGACTTGTGAACAGTTACCCAGAGTTTCTCTTTTTTTTTTTTTTTAAAGATTTTATTTATTTATTTGACAGACAGAGATTACAAGTAGGCAGAGAGGCAGGCAGAGAGAGAGGAGGAAGCAGGCTCCCTGCTGAGCAGAGAGCCCGATGTGGGGCTCGATCCCAGGACTCTGAGATCATGACCTGAGCTGAAGGCAGAGGCGATAACCCACTGAGCCACCCAGGCGCCCCAGAGTTTCTCTTTAAAGGGTAAACAATGTTATTGGAATCTAAGTATCTCAAGGAAAGAAAAATTCGTTAAACATTAGAATCCAAGTGCCAATCAAAGGACATAGGGTTCCACATGCTTTACCACTAATGAGACACCTTTAGAAGAAATATTTCTATATTTTTTAAAATTTTTTAAAAGATTTTATTTATTTATTTGACAGTAGGCAGAGAGGCAGGCAGAGAGAGAGGAGGAAGCAGGCTCCCTGCCAAGCAGAAAGCCCAATGCGGGGCTCCATCCCAGGACCCTGAGACCATGATCTGAGCCGAAGGCAGAGGCTTTAACCCCCTGAGCCACCCAGGCACCCCAGAAATATCTCTATTTTAAATCTCAATGTTGTCTCGGTTAAGAGCATAAAGTTTGGTTAGTAGGAAAACTGCCTTAGCTGCCTTAACTTCTCCCAAGCTTCAGCGTTTATGGCTTCTTAAGTTTCCTATCTTTAGGGGCCCGCTGCTCACTGAGGACTGTGAAGATGTGGCTACTGAGAGACGTGGTGTTGGCACAGCTGAGTGTTAGGAGGTGGGGCAAGGCATGCTGGGGAGGTGTTCAGACTACAGATCTAGAGCTCTTACTCTGTGTCTTGGCACTGCCAACAATTTCTCTGAGCCAGTGTTTCCTCCTATGTAACAGGAGGGGGTAGAGGCTTATTCTTGAAGCCCTTGGAAGTCAAAGAATAGTCCCGGGACCAGCAGCCTTGCCTCACTTGGGGCAGAGACGAACACTTTGTCCATTCACAGAGCCCCCCCTAGTGATTCTTCCATCTAGCTCCTGAGCCAAAAGTAACACCTGATGAATCCATTTATTAAGTAGCTAGTGATAGGTGAAATATAGCGAAATGCTGTGGTTCAGGAGCAAATTCTTAAGGCATCTTTGGTGCAAAAAGGGTGGTTTTATTAAAGCACAGGGACGGAGCCCGTGGACAGAAAGAGCGACACTAGGGTCATGAGGAGTGACTGATTATACACTTTCAAGTTGGGAGGGGGTCGGGGACAGCATAAGTCTCTAAGGAATTTGGAAACAAGGTTTCCAGGACCTTGAGGGGCTGCTGTTGAAGATAAGGTCATTTACTACTGTCTAGTAAAACCTGAGGCATGAGACCCTTCGGATATATATCAGGGGGCCATACGTTTGGAGGATGATTGCTAACCGGTATCTTGGAGGCTGGTAGAGCTAAAGGAAGTTTCCAAGGGGATTTTTATCTATTAAAGAAGACTTATGGGGGCGCCTGGGTGGCTCAGTGGGTTAAAGCCTCTGCCTTCGGCTCAGGTCATGATCCCAGGGTCCTGGGATCAAGCCCCGCATCGGGCTCTCTGCTCATCAAGAAGCCTGCTTCTCCCCCTCTCTCTCTCTCTGCCTGCCTCTCTGCCTACTTGTGATCTTTGTCTGACAAATAAATAAATAAAATCTTAAAAAAAAAAAAGAAGAAGACTTATGGGATCCTGGAGGTCAGGCTCATGTCAAGTTAAGCTTGCCCTGCTCTAGCAAAAGTATTAACATTGAGATATTTTGAGCTCCTGGAGGAAGGTCACCCTGTCTGTCTGAAGTATTTGCCAATGGGCTGCAAAGGAAATTTAGTTCTTTTCTATATTTCTTTTGCCTTTGTTCTCCACACCAGTCAGACCAAAAAAAACTTTATAATCACTGGTATCCTAACAACTTAGTAGACATGCAAAACAATAATACGCATACATTGAAAGAAAAATAGTTTTATTCCATTCTTAAACAGCCCTTAATCCTTCCTACTGGGATGTGGGTATCTGTTGGGCATTTAACAACTCGTCAAATCTTGGCATCTGACTGGATAGCACCACTTTTATTTCCTGTTCCGTGTTGATTTTTATTCAGTACTTACTTATTTTTCACAGCAGCTGTCAAAAACTCAGCTTCACACAGATAAGACTTAACTAAAAAAGAATAAATTGTGATTTAATGTTGACACCGTGAACTACTGCTAAGAGTTTGCATGGTGTCTGATTGATGTCACTGCGTTTCTCTTGAAATTTTAAAATGCCCCCGTGGTTCCCCTGGGAAGCTGCTGTGATGTTCTGGGATGCCTCAATACACATTTTGCAAACTGTGCGCCTAGGAGTTAGAGAGGAAGACTCTCAGACCCCACCCGAGACTGACTGCATCAGAATCTTAATCATTTTAAGAAGATCCCCTGGTGATTTATGTGCAATTAAAGTTTGAAAAGCACCACTCAAAGCCACCTGTTGTTATGAAAATTCTGTTTTGTTTTAGGAATGGGAAAGACAAATGAGATCACTCGCTGGCTCCCATTGTAATTTCTAAGTAATTATGAAATTCTTGGTTTACTCTTGCCCTTGACTTAAGCTTAGAAGAGATACTGGCCATGTTGCCAGCATCCTGTTCTTTGATCAGTCTCTGAGCAACTAGAGAAATGTCCTGACTTTCATAACGCATAACAGACAAAGTGGGAAGTCTAGGCTCTCTTTCTACTTTAGTCCTTCCCAGTGGTTCACCGACAGGGCTTTTGAAACTGCTAGGTCATTCATGAAAGCCTTCCACATGGTCTCTTGTGACAGTCATGTTGCTAAGATACAGTTTGGGTACTAAAGGGTAATTTTGTTACATTTGATTTAAACTGTGTCTCTTGTCACTAGTGTCTAATCAGAAATTTTATTCATTCTGGTGGATCTGGACTTTTTTATTACATTTTATTTTGCTTGTTGGTGTGTTTGTTGTTTTGTGTTCTCTTTTGTGGGTGGTAATTTTACAGAGGTTTGCAAAGCCCTAGTCTTTGACCTACCTCTGTAACCCAAACGGTTGCCCGGGGATTTCACTGCAGCCCAGGGTCTATGATGCTCTGGCATGACCTTGGTAAAGCCGCAGTTAGGGCTTCCCAGAGACTGCTGGAAGGCTCTCTGTGGATATCAGAGAAAGAAACTTGTGGCTCCTGCTAGTACGAAATATATGAGCGTCTCTTTGTCCAGATGGATGCATTCTAGACCTTGAAGTAGATTGACCTTGGGTCTTCCAGTGAGAGAGACAAAAGCTACAGGGATAGGAAGAGGACTCCAGATTGAGGAAATGCCCCTAATGACCCTGTATTCATTAGAAGTGAATAAACAAAGGCTATCCACTTGCCCAGAAAGGCAATGCTTCCCCTATCAGCAAGCTTCCTGCCTGCCTTTAGAATGCTTCTTAAGTCTTCTTGTCCCTTGTCAGGCTTGGATTTTATATAATACCAGAAAACCAAGCAAAACAAGTGATTTTTTTTCTTCACTCATCCTAGATTTTGCTGCTCATTATAAAGAATAAGAATTATAATTGAATAAAGGGGGTGGTTTCTGTGTAGAGCTAATTAGAATAACACTGAACACCTCTTTTCATCTTATTTATTCCAGACCAGCCTTAACAGCATGATGAGTGTTTACAGTGAAACAGGAGACTATGGCAACGTGAAGGTCAGTGGTGAAATCCTTCTCCACATCAGCTACTGCTACAAAACTGGCGGGCTCTGCATTTTTGTCAAGAATTGCAGAAATCTGGCCATAGGAGATGAAAAGAAACAGAGGACAGATGCGTAAGCACGCAGCGTATTCCTTGGACTGTTTCGATCACTGCTCTCTTTGTCAGTGTGTGTGGTTTTGTCTTAGCGTTCTTCTTGATTCAGAGCCTTCTCAGAAGGTCAATTGTCCTTTTCCTCCTGTGTGACCCTTCTAAATACTCTCTAAGTGTATGTATAATGGTTGTGTCTGTGATTATCTGATTTTTCCAAAGCTATGAGTCAACATGATTCAGGACTATTTGTAGTTTACCCAGAGGCCACTCTGAGGTAGAGGCTGGCTGACACGTCTCCATACCCCGGGATCGCTGAGTATCTTGTTCTGTGAGACCCTCCAGAGAAAACCAATTGAATGACTCGAAAGGACAATTTGAGGCTCTCAGGTTTCCAGATATCAGCGGGGAGGCAGGTATGGACCATAGGTACATTGGAAGGGAGCTAGATGAAAGACGTGTCAGGGGCTCCCAAGGTCATTGCTAGGCTTGATGATTTACTAGGAAGACTCACAGCCATAAAGATATAAGGCATGTGTGGCGAAATTCTGAAGAATCCAGGCTTCAACTTCCAAGCATCCAGACCCCCACTGGAGTTACACAGGATGTGCTTAGCTCCTCCAGCAACAAGTCGTAGCAGAACCCATGTAATACTGTTTACTGGGGAAGCTCATTTAGAGCCTCAACTGGTCACGTACCAAAATTCCAGTCTCCATGAAGGAAAGCAGGTGTTCTGCCTCAGCCATACTGTTTTTACAAATAGTTTAGTCCCAGTGAGCCACTTACATCTGTTCTGGGAGTGATGAGAATCCTCCTGAAATCCAAGTTTCCAGATGCCTGCCAATGGCTAATGTTGTGCACAGGCATTTCCAAGGACCTCAATCTGAGGCCGGTTGGGTTATCCTTTTCCTCTGTAATAGGTGACCTAGGTCCAATAAACAGCTCAGAGAAGCTGTTTCCAAGTGTCTAAAGATAGACAAATGGGAATAGGACACCTGACTGCCTCAGTCGGTGGAGGGTATGGCTCTTGATCTCAAGGGTTTGAGTTCGAGCCCCCACATTGGGTGTAGAGATTACTTAAAATGTTTTAAAAACTTAAAAAAACAGACAAAGGAGTATAGGTTCTGAGTATAGATTGGTCCACCTCCTTCCTTACCTAAATATCCAAGGGCTTCAGGACCAATATAATCATTCAGAGTAGCATGGAAGGAGGTCATTTAAAGCCCTGATTGATGTGCTTCGGGACTCTGGTACATCTTGTGCATTTCTAAGTCTGCCTTGGTGCCCCTGCTCCAGGAGGCTCAACACAAGGTGTCGGGTAGGATAGCTCTAGTGACACTGGGTTGTTATTTCCTATTGGTTCTTTTCCACTGTTTTCCTTCATTCATCCATTTCCACATTTCCATTGATTCCACTCATCAGAAGTCCTGACATCAGAATGGAGAGGACTATAACATTACAGTATTTTGGGAGAGCATTGATCCTATGAACAGAAGACATCTGTTGAGTGATATAACATGTCAGTTCCTGTATGTATCAACCAATTTAATCCTTGCAAGGCCATAAGTTAGATACTCTTACTATCCCAGTTTTACAGAAGAGGAAACTGAGGCACAGAGAAGTTAAGTAAGTTCTTGAGTTTACCAAAACTGTTGAGGCATAGAGTAATTCAAGCCTAGTTGGCTAGACTTCAGAGCCCACACTCTTCATCACTATCCATTAACTGCTTCTCTATTCTTGGAAGCCTGGAATTTTATTTTAAGGTATCCTGCCATGTAGACTACATTCTCTTTGGTTCTCTCATGTCTGATGACCTGTTCCCTTCACCTGTTTTATTCACCCAAGTCCCTTACTGTTCCTTGCAAAGTAGAGGTCTCCCAATAATTACTTTCACATTGTATCATCTACAGTTATGTCAAGTCGTACCTTCTTCCTGACAAATCCAGAAACAATAAGCGCAAGACCAAGATCAGAACAGGCACCAATCCAGAATTCAATGAGACACTAAAGGTATGTGCAGGCTCTCTCATATTCCCTCAAGTGACACCATTCATACCCTCATTGATTTAAAATTGACTGTGGGGGATTTGCATGTCCAGGTTTAAATATCTTTTAGAAAAGTAAAATTTGAACAAATCTGTGTCCTACTCTTGGCTTTTCTAACAGTTCTTGGAAAAGAAGAACTGTAAGCCATCTTTACTCTGTTTATTTCTCTGCTGCTGCTAAAGTGACACCTGATGGAAAGATGATCCAGTGAAATTGCATCTGAGCTGATGCATCTTTTTTTAAAAGATTTTTTTTTTAATTTACTTGAGAGAGAGACAGTGAGAGAGAGCATGAGAGAGGAGAAGGTCAGAGGGAGAAGCAGACTCCCCATGGAGCTGAGAGCCTATTGGGGGGCTCGATCCCGGGACTCCGGGATCATGACCTGAGCCAAAGGCATTCACTTAACTAACTGAGCCACCCAGGCGCCCCTGAGCTGATGCATCTTGTCAAAGAATATGTTTCACCCTTGGGAAAGAGGTTTTTTCCTAGTTCCCCTTAAAAGGAGTTTGTCACAGTTTTGACACTAACTTAGCAAGTCACTTTGTACACACTCCTTGATGTGCTCCCACAGCATGAGTCTGTGCTATTTCTTGTCAGATTTCAGAGTTGGGCTAAATTTAGGCCCATGGTTAATGAACAGTGGAGATGCACGGTTGGATTTGAGGAAGCTCAGAGAAAGTGGCCCTGGTAAGACACGACCCAGGCCCCATTCCTGGAGACATTACTTCCCCCATGGTCTTCTGTGTAATGACCCCTTCTCCCACCCTGGACCAATCTAGCGTGGTAAGAAGGATCCAGGGAGACTGGAATATAGAAGTTATTGCCAGTTGCAGGGAAATGTACGGGCCTTGTACCCAGAGTGAGGGAGTCAGAATCCAACATAGCAGGAAGTTGGTGAGTGGGGACATCCATCAGTGGGGTCATGTTTGGAAGCAGGAGCCAATATGAAGACAGATCAAAACGAGAATGAAAGAATACGGGCGGGGGTGAATCTGGTGGCTTTAACAAGGTAGCAAAGATGAGCCTAGCAGAACAGATAGAGATTTATGGCAAATTCTAGAAGCCAGGAGCCAAAGCCAGTCATGCCAGGAACAGCAAGGATGGGTATAGAAGCAAATCCAAGATCAAGAAACAGCCTGCAGTGGTGATTGGCCACCTGTTGCCTGTTGTGAGGTTCAAGAGTGTATAGGCATGTGGCTGTGGATCACGTTCTGCTGAAAAGGAGAAGCTATCCCAGCAACATTGTCTTTCTGCTCCATCTCTGTAGCGGGTCTCTTCCTCCTGCACTTACGTGAGACTTGATGAAGTTCGGTGTTTGCAACTTCCTCACTGAGAGTACTTTTCTGGATTTGGGGGTTCTCGTCATGATTAGAAGAAGACAGAGAAGTTGGAGAGTTGATATAGCAAACACTAAGCTTACAAAGTAGATTTTAAAAAATGATTCACATCACAAAAAAAAAAAACAACTGAGGGTTGCTTGGGGGAGCAGGGTAGGGAGAGGGTGGTTGGGTGATGGACATTGGGGAGGGTATGTGCTATGGTGAGTGCTGTGAGGTGTGTAAACCTGGCGATACACAGACCTGTACCCCTGGGGCTAATAATACATTATATGTTAATTTAAAAAAAATTCACAGATGAAAACCAGGTAAAACTGAAAAGGGGACAATCATCATTACCTAACACTTTTTATGTACTATTTGAAGTTTATTGACTTTTTCTTAAATAACTGGCTGATACATCTTTCAGTTGAAGGTCTAACACAAAATAAGTGTATGGCCTAGAAACCCAGCTATAGCACCAACAAGGAGAAATATGGTGGTTTTTTGTGTTTGTTTTTTTTTTTTTTAAGATTTATTTATTTATTTGACAGAGAAAAAGAGATCACAAGTAGGCAGAGAGGCTGGCAGAGAGAGAGGGAGAAGCAGGCTCCCTGCTGAGCAGAGAGCCTGATGTAGGGCTCGATCCCAGGACCCTGGGATCATGACCTAAGCCGAAGGCAGAGGCTTAACCCACTGAGCCACCCAGGCACCCCTTTGTGTTCGTTTTGTTCATATTACTAGCACGTATGGCCTGAAAGATGGTGAAAGTAAATTTCAGCCTGTCGTAGAACTGGGCAGAGCCATCCACGTGGAGTGTGATGTTGTGACTCTCGTTTGCAGTACACCATCAGCCACACCCAGCTGGAGACAAGAACTCTGCAGCTCTCGGTCTGGCATCATGATCGATTCGGACGTAACAGCTTCCTCGGGGAGGTGGAGATTCCCTTTGACTCATGGAACTTTGAAAATCCAAGTGATGAGTGGTTTGTGCTTCAGCCCAAGGTAGGAAATGCCTGGAGATTAATCAAACAGTTATGCAACGGGACAAGTTAGGAACAAAATTGATGTCCTCGGCCCAGAGAATCTGAAGACTTCTCATTTTCAAGCGGTAATCTGAACAGATGAGTGCAGCTAATTTTGGAATAATATAAGACACGTAAATCCTTTCCTTGGAATTCATTCTTTAATACAGACTATCTGTACCATGCAAGTCACATAGTCCTATACAATATTCATTTGACTTACTAAAAATGTTTTCATCATTTGGAGGTCTCCATAGATTAAAAAAAGAAGGAATACATTATATGATCCTATCAGAAGGAGAAAGCATTCGATTTCACAGAGGTAAAAACAAATCCATAGAGGCAAAGAGTCTTAGAACATTCTCTCTATTCTCCATTCTCCACAATTCAAACATAAGCAGAAGTGGTCTTGCCTTGGCTCAGGAAGCAACCAGTAGCTAAAGTATCTGGTTTCCTATATTCTGACTTTTGAGATTCATAACCCAGGTTTAAGTTATAGTCAGAAAAATAGTCTTGAAGCTCGTTCTAGAAATTAAATGCAACAGAGTGTGTTCTGAACTAGAGCAACAGTACCTTGGATTCGCCCTATGCAACTGGAGTCTCTGTACATTTATAGTGATTTTTTAAGTCAAAGGTGGAATGAAAAAAGGTCACATTGATGTATCCGAAGATTGTTCTTTTTATTTTTTTCAAGATTTTATTTATTTATTTGACAGACAGAGATCACAAGTAGGCAGAAAGGCAGGCAGAGAGAGAGGAGGAAGCAGGCTTCCCGCTGAGCAGAGAGCCCGATGTAGGGCTCGATCCCAGGCCCCTGGGATCATGACCTGAGCCGAAGACAGAGGCTTTAACCCACTGAGCCATGCAGATGCCCATGAAGATTGTTCTTTATATACAGAGAGGCAGAAAGAACATGATGGTACAGATAGTAGACTCAAATCAGACTTCCTGGGTTCAGTCCTGGCTTCATGACTATCTGTTGCCATTTGACAAATTAACTCCCCAGGCTTTGGTGTTCTCATTTGTGAGGTAATACTTAAACATATCTTACTGGGACATTGTGAAGCTTGGAGAAGCACTCTGATGCCCACAGTACCGTGTCAGGTACATTTTAAGCTCTCAATAAAGGCTAGGTAGTGTTTCTGTTACATCACAGTCCTTGTATCACGATTGACAGAAACCCTGGCTCATACCACTCAAAAAATACAAGGAAATTATTGGCCAGTGATTATCAAACATGGTTTTACCCAGATAACTCACATCATATCTAGGCCTTGGATTCTCTTGGTGTCTCTCTCTTTTTAAAAGATTTTATTTCTTTATTTGACAGACAGAGATCACAAGTAGGCAGAGAGGCAGGCAGAGAGGCAGGCAGAGAGATAGGAAGGGAAGAAGGCTCCCCGCTGAGCAGAGAGCCCGATGTGGGGCTCGATCCCAGGACCCTGGGATCATGACCTGAGCAGAAGGCAGAGGCTTTAACCCACTGAGCCACCCAGGTGCCCCTTGGTCTCTCTTCTCTGTGTTGGCTTCATTTTGAGACTCTGTGCGGTTGATCTCCCTCACTAGCTCCAGTATGATTCTCTTGGACATTACAATATGTGCGAGCCCCTCCTCCTTGCACTACACAGTCAGGGAGAGGAAAAATGTCCAGCAGTCCACTCAGCACCCTGGGCCTGGTTCTCCTCACTCTGATGACATCATTTGCTCACCCTGAGCTAACTGCCGTGGCTGGCCAGGGAGGTGAGAAGTACTGGCTGACTTAAGACAATCAGAACATACCCCTGTCCTGAAGATAGTATTTCCCCAAAGGGAACCCAGGTATAGTAGTTCTAAAACAATGGTGAGTGGAAGCTGGACAGCAACACGTGCATCGATCATCATCAGCAATGCAGTGTCCACGACAAACATCGTGAGGTGTAAGTATCATCGTTTCCGTTGTATCTGAGATCGAGGCTCAGAAGCTGAACACAATTTTCTGGTAGACTTTTAGAACTACGGACCTCAAGCTTGGTGTAATCATGGGAAATCTTTGGGAAGTATAATTGGGCTGTGGGTAAAATTAATAATAAAATATAATAAAAGTCCTTAAACATAAAATAACTGCAGGCCTCTGACTAACATAAATATGATAGGAAGCACAAAAGTCACAAGAAATAAGTCTGCAATAGTGTAATATTCCCTTGACGTTAACTGTGGGAAATAATCAGTCATTAAACATGGAGTCTCTTGGAATGGAATGAAAAGCCTTACCACGAAGGATAGCACTTAATCTGACTTCAGCAGTCTCCTGGCACTTGCTTCCTTTTGTGTGTAATAGATGGGCACCACAGACTCATAGTTAGAAAATGTCCAAGACATTATATGAAGCATGATGTAGATGAAGAACAAGTAATGTTCATTTTAGTACCTGAAAATAACTGATCTGTCATAAATGTAACATTAAAGCACATAGGGGCTCTTTGGAAAACAGCTTGGAATGTTCCAGTCAGTTTCCTGGAAATGGTGGAAGGACTTGCCCTGGGATGTTATCTAAGCTCTCCCAGGTGCATCCTCTGTGCTTAGGGACCAGGCACTTTCCGGGTAATCACCTTCACATTGCCACTGAGTGATTTCATTTTCTGTCATAAGAGATAGCTCTCAGGCTGCTCAAGGTAGCAAAGTTCTGATTGAGTGTAATGTCTGGAACTCCTTGGTCCTCTGCCAGATCCCCTTGGATTCCTTTAACCGTGACTGTTAGGAGTTTGGCCTCCAACAGCCTTCACCTGAGACTGTTTAGAAGACTGTTCCAGACTACTGTAGCTTTTTCCGTGAGCAGGGAGTCCAAAGCTCCTAGGAGCTTACATACCACCTCTCACAAGGCAGCCCTTTGCCAATAACTCATACACTGGGGAGTCGGAAAGCCCAGTTCCCTTACTAAGAGTGGTGGGGGGTAAGGGAGTGGTGCCCCAAGGCATTACTTACACTCTACAGCTTTCCCACCAGATCAGGCTACCCTGACCCTGACCTTCATCCTTGTCACCCCTTCCCTGGTCTATCCTGGGAACAATTCTTAATAAGGCAGTGTGTAAGAACCCTCACCTCACGGTGAGCTTCTGGGGAACCCCTTAGAGGTTTGTGTCTTTTTTTTTTTAAGATTTTATTTATTTGACAGAGACATCACAAGTAGGCAGAGAGGCAGGCTGGGGGTTCAGGAAGCAGGCTCCCTGCTGAGCAGAGAGCCCTATGCAGGGATCGATCCCAGAACCCTGAGATCATGACCTGGGCTGAAGCACTGAGCACCCCCAGGCGCCCCTAGGTTTGTGTCTTTAATCCCTGTCATCTTTCTCTTCCAAGAAAAAGATGACACATAGAGGCACACATGTGGTCTCTGACCCATGGGGGATGTGTATATGTGTCTCTGACACATACAGAGGAAAACCCGCAGAGTCAGCCTTGTTTGGGCACCATGCCTTCCAGAAATGGGAAATGGGGAAGATAGATGCAACATACTCCGCAGGCTGCCTTCTCTTCATTGGTGGCTCATCCTCAGGCTGGGCTGGGCTCTGGGTGCTGGGGTATCAGCCGACTCTGGGAAGCGTCACTCTGTTTTCAGTCAGAACAGCCCCTTCAAGGCAGTAGTCACTTCAGCAGCTCTGGCTAGAGTATGAGCAGCCTTGGACACTCAATGTTTCCTTGTAGATTATCCAGCCGGAGAGGTGTAAGTGTAAGCTACAGCGACCAATTTCCTTAGTGACAGAGGGTCAGAAACAATACTCCTTCAGTGTTCGCAAATACTGACATCCCTTTGCAGTGGGAATACTGGAAAGACACAGTGCCTTATTTCTTACTGACTCTGCGTTAGCAAATGTCCTTTGACACCGCCTTTGGTTTTGGTAGGTCTTATGGCCCTAAGCCGGTGAGGAGGCTGGGGCGGACAGAGGAAGATCTCAAGCTGTCAAACGTCCTGTAAAGTAGTTTCACAGTATGACTTCCATTTTACTGCGTGACATGAGACTGTTTATTAGCTGTAACTCATTATCTCTCTGAAAGGCATATTAGGTAGTTAGACGAGAAGGGTTTGTCAGTATGAATTGCCTTTCATGTCTTTCCAGAAGGTGCTATTATAAAAACAAGGAGCTTTGAAAATCAACGGCGAGCTCTAATGTTTTCCAAGGAAATCTGTGCTCTGCCTTCAGGCAGAGTCGATGCAAGTTTCTGTGAAATTATTCCTGAGCCGAAAGGCTCTCTGTAACTGGCAGTTTGGGTAGACTCTTGTCGGTAATTTATTATCCCCACCGTAGTAGACCTGAAAATGTACTGGGAACTCTGCTTCCAACGCTGATGTAATGTGGATCGCTCTTTTGAAAAGGCAGAAGATAATGGGGGTTCCCTGGTGACGCCATATCAGTCAGATACCCTCACTGGTTCCCTACTGCTTTTGCATATGGTTTGAATAAATCTTGACCCATCATCCTGGCACTTCAGTGCTTCTTGATATGGCCCCGCCTTCTGTACCAGTGGAGGATGTCAGTGCTCTACCTGGATCCCCAACATTGTTCGTATGGGGCTCCCCATGGCTTTTGCTCACACCAGCCAGCACCTGCCAGTCTTCATAGGAGAGGAGCCCTCAGGGTGCTGATGTGGGCTTGGTCTGTGGGCATGAAGAGGCAGAAGAGCCTGGGTGTTCAAGTTTTCTGAGGAGTGGAGGGCAGAGCCCTTGTTCAGTAACTGATGGCCGAAGGAGTGTCAACACTTCTATTCTCTTGTCTCTGGTTGAGACAGCGCTCAGAGGTGTGATCTGCCTTGTCCGCAAAGCTCCCTTGCGGAACTGAAAAAAAGCTACTCATCATAAACCTTTGCCTGATATCACAACCTTCTTAAGCCTCCTTGACTTTGTGGTCCCACTTCCCCACTCCCCATCCCAATAAAACACACTAAGATAAATTTGTGTCTTAGGGTCTTCTGGGCAACCCAGAGTAGAACCCCGTTTTGTCTTCCTTGCTACCACCTCCCTTCACACAAACCTCTGATCAATTAAACCTGACTCCCCGCCAGCTTTTAAACACATTTTACACAGTCCCAACTGTATTTTGATATTAGTGTTTTCTTAACCCAGACTGACCTTCTTCCCATCCTCTCTTTATCAGTCATCCTATCTCCCATTGGGATAAAGGTCACCCCTTTATCCCAATCTAGGTGATTCTGTCTCTTCCCACAGTAGTTTCTTTGTACCTGTATTGGAACAACTGTCATCCTTTGTCAGAACTGACCTTACAGTAGTAGGTCAGTTCATAAATCCACAGAAATCATACTTACACAAACATACACTCTGAGTGCATTTCTTAATCATTTATTTTAACTTAAACCAAATATGCATTGATTTTCAAGTCTTTGAACATAAGGATAATTCATTTTGCTTGAGGATAGTTTCGGTGATTAGAATTCCGTCCTACCTTCCTGGCTTAAATTCTGACCCTAGTGCATTCTAATCAGTAGTTTCTAGTTTGAGCTTTTCTAAAGTACAGCAGGAACTTGAGAGTGCTTTCAAAGTAAACCAAATATAAAAGCTTTCTAAATATTCATGATTGTTTTTTAATCTTTTACAGCTTCGAGCCCAAATGTAATCCAATAGCAAATTTATTTTCAAATACTTAGTTCTTTGAAAGTATTCAGCTTAATGTTTATAGTAGTAGCTGTCTTTTTGCATTCTTTAGTTTACTGATATTAAATTATTCTAATTATTAGAACCACAAACATGCCCGGCATAGAGAACCTGGGAGATGAATGCAGCTGGCTTTTGGCGAGCATACAGTTCAACTGACAGGAGTAGGCATGCATGGTCTCTTCACTGGGAATAGAGAACATTAATCTGATGAGTCAGTTAAATAAGGATAGATTTATAGAGCTTCTATTGAATATATGTCTCCTGGATAGATTGAAAGCTCAGTAGGGTCTGTGTCTTATATGCCCCTGCAACACTTAGCAAAATGCCTTCAAAACATTACTACAAGAAGGCAACCCGTATGTGATGATAGGATTGAATGAGTTTAATTGAATTGAATTCTACCTTTTTCAGAGCAAAAGGTGGTTGAATGATGTAAAATGGTGGTATGTCAGGAGATGAGACATTGCCTTAGAATTTCCTTGCAAGAATATCAAAACTATCCCAAGATATTAGCGATGCACAGGCTGTAGGATGACTCCTTCCCTTGAATTTCGTTTGTATGTGATTATAATGCTACAAGTCTTCATCTTTACTCTTTTCTACTCTTATAAGTTTTCAAGACTGTATTTATAGAAAATCACCAGTATATTTTAATTAATATAAGCTAAAGACCAATGGAACATTAATAAATCCCAGTATTGGATGTTCTAACCTCTACTGATAATGCACACACCTGCACACATCACTTTTTCCTACCAACATATTTTCTCATCCAAAGCTCTAAGCTAAAAGCAAATAGAGCCTGCATTGGTTAATTTTTATAAAGAAAACTACTCTAAACCTTAGTGGCTTAAAACGACAATTTCTTATTGCTCCTGATTCTGTGGGGTGACTAGGCTCAGTTAGGTAGTTCTCATCGAAGGTCTCTCATTTGGTTGCAGCTAGATGGTAGACTGAGGCTGAAGTCGTATGAAGGCTTGACTGGGCTGATTGTTCAAGTTGGCCTTCTCACACTTTCTGTTAGCTGCCAACTGGGAATTCAGCTAGGACTGCCAACCAGAGCACCTACATGTGGCTTCTTTCTGTGGCTTGGGCCTCAACACCATGGGTCCTCAGTGGGAGCATCCCAAGGATGTTCATTCTAAGAGAGGAAGTAGAAATTGTTAATCTCAGGCTTGGGGCCCAGAAACTGGCACATTGTCACTGGTGCCATGGTCTCCTGGTCAAACCAATCACAAGGTCCACTCAGATCCAAAGAGAAAGGATAAACACCAATGAGCTGTAGCTCGTTGGCTATAGCACTGAAAAGGTAATGATCTCTTTACTTTGCTATAACGTCCATTATAACTTTCCATTTGTGACATTCATATAAAGTAAAATGTACTGAAACTGTCAAAACAACAAGAAAAGTCCTTTTCACAAGGCGTGTGACTTAATTAGATTAAAAATTAGATGGGTAGTCTGTCTAATCTCACGTTTGCCCCTAGCAAGAAGGGTGAATAAAATACTTCAAATTATTTTCCCACCTTTATTGATTGTTTTATCACCAACCAAGAGGAAAGTCAGGTAAGGATTCCTTTGCCGGGTAATGGTTTCCATCATCTTTGCTGAGGCTTGAACAGCCTTTTGCTTCTCTATTTGAGTTTGGGGGTTTCTGAATTCTTTTGGTCTACCTTCTCGGAAGACATAGTTCCCAGCCCTTGACTCAGCACCCAGGAGCCAGGTTCCTGAAGGAAAGGCCAAAGAAAATATACTACTTTTCTTACCCCTTTTATAAAAAGTTGACTCAATGGCAACGAGGAGACTTACAGAACAAAGGCTCTGAGTATGTGTTCACATTGAATTTCTGAACTGAAACTTTTGATTTTGAGATGATTACAGAGCCACATTCGATTGTAAGAAGTAATACAGAGAGATCTCATGTACCCTTTACCTAGTTTTCCCCAATGGTAGCATCTCGCAAAGCTATAGAGCAATGAATGCCACACCTGGAGTGATGACATTGATACCACACACCCATCTTCTTCAGACTTCCTCACTTCTCATTTGTGTGTGTGTGTGTGTGTGTGTGTTCTATGCAATTTTATCACATCTGTACCTTTATCACTATAGCCAAGATACAGAACAGTTCCTTCATAGCAAGGCGCTCTTGTGATCTTTTATAGCCACACCCACCTCCCTCCTGACACCCCTCCCTACCTCCAGAGACCACTAATCTGTTCTCCATATCTATTATTTTGTCACTTCAAGACTATCATTTAAATGAAATGGTATGGTATGTAGCCTTTTGAGCTCGCTTTTTCACTCAGCGTAATTCAGTAGAGGTTCATCCGAATTGTCTTATGTATTGTCCGTTCATTCTTCTTTACTGCTAAGCAGTAGTCCATGATATGGCTGTACCACACCTTGTTGCACCAGCCACCTCTCCTCTTGAAGGTCATCTAGTCCATTTCCGGTTCGGCTAGTCCATAGAAAGATGATATGAATATTTGTATACAGGTTTTTATGTGGACATAAGCCTTCATTTCTCTGGGATAAATGCTCAAAAATGCAGTTGCTGGGTTGTATGGTATCTGTATGTTTAGTCTTACAAGAAACTGCCCTACCATTTTCCAGAGTGGTTATACCATTTCACATTCTCACCAACAATGTTTGAGTGAACCAGTTTTTCCACACTGAATTTTTTTTAAGGAGGCTCCAGCCCACACTCAAGTGAGGGACTTGAACTCATGACCCTGAGATCAAGACCTGAGCTGAGATGAAGAGTCAGATGCTTAACCAACTGAGCCACCCAGGTGGCCTTCCACATCAAATTTTAATCATGTGAATTACAGTATAGCTTTGAATAATTAGTGACTGGGCAGCCCAATGTGAATCACGCATTCCTGGCTATTTCCCCCTCTTGGTTACTTAGGAAAGCTTTGAGACATCAAGAGCAGACAGGGAGACGTATCTTCTGGAGCTGTTCTCCGTGGCATCTTTATTTGTGCCTCATACCCCGAACTCTATGTTCAGTGATGGGTCCTTGTTGCACCACAGGCAGTCAGTAGCCACTGATGACCACACGTGTGTCATATATCTCCTCTCAAATTCCTTTTATTTTAATGTTAAACATTACACACAAATACCTTTTGTACAAAGAATACGAAGTTTTCTGGCCTCTCTCTTTTCTTACCTAAGGCATATCTTAAACCAGTAAGTGCTAACAGTTGAATAGGAATGGATTGTCATATTTAAACCAACAAGTAAATATGACAAGGCCATTCAAACATGGGCTACAAAATAATAAACCAAACATTCTCACTTTTTCTCTTCACCTGTCTCCCTTTGACCAGGTGGAATTCGCTGCAGACATAGGCCTTCACTATAAAGGAGAGCTAACAGTTGTTTTACGTTACATCCCCCCAGAGGAGAACCTGATGATTCCTCTAAAACAAGTTCAAGGTAGAGTAAAAATCAATGACTTTGACCACGGGTATTTTGTGTCTAGACGTATGGTAACAGGGATCAGGAATTGGTTGGATTATGTTACTTCGGCATTACACAGATGAAAATGTAAAGGGTTGGGTGTCACTGTCTTGGAAGAGAGTTGAGAAGTATATCCTACAAATGGGTAAGGGGGCAGGATCTTTACGAGTAAAGGACAAAGTTTATACTAGAAACCAGGCTTACTGGTGGCATTTGTTTCCTGGAAATCCCAGAGATCTAGGATGTTCCCCAGGATGGAGAGGGGTGGTGGGGAGGAGTACAGTCTGTGGGAAGGAGAGATGTAAAAAGCTGCTGTATAGATTTCTGACAGTCACAGTTACTCAGGGAGTCTTGGGGAAGAAGTTGACCTAGAACACAGGATGTAAAGGAAAAATCCAGATGGAGTCAACTTTTAAGTCCTTTTGGCCTTCTGCCATCAACTGATCCAAGCAGCCTTCTCTAGCCTTCCATTCACTGTCACCCTCTTCAGTGTGACCCTGTGCAAGTAATTCACTGCCTCTTCGCCTCCGTTTCCTCACTTCATAGGGATAGCGCAAGGATTAAATAGGTTCATTCATGGAAAGTGCCTAAACCAGTACGGAATAAAGGTGCTGGCAGTGGTTATTACTCGCATTGAGCCATTTCCTCAGAATAAAAATGTGACGTGGGGAGAGTTGTCTCTCAATCAAAAACATAGTTGTGCCTGGGCCATGTATAGCCTTTAGAGCTCCCTAGAAGGAAGTCACGGAATTTTCTCTTTTGGAGTCTTGGCACTTCTGTGTGGCTTTCTCTGTAGCTGTTCTCACGGGGAGCAAGAATATGGCTCAGGCAGCTCTCAGATTCATTTCCATTTTGTTCCTCTATACCCTGTAAAAAGGTACTCCTTGTTGGGAAGTATTTACAGTTTTAAATTTATTTGTTCTTTTTTTTTTTTTTTTCAAAAAACACAAATAAAAGACCTATCCAGAAGGAATCTGGTGAGGTAGAAACATTTGAATAAATCATGGAAAAACACAATAACATAAAGACCCAGTTCAGTCAGCAAATGAAATAAATCTTGGCAGGTTTTCTTTGTGAATTTTGAAATGGAACCCATGATTTCTCTCTCTTCCCTTCTCTCCCTTCCCCCTCCTTCTCCCTTCCTTTCTTCCTCCCTCCTTCTCTATCTCTCTCTCTTTGATGGCTGATGCAGGAAAGAAGACCTTCAAAAGGGGAAAGAAGAAGGAGTCACCTGTAATCTTTGGAGGAATACTGGAAGTGTTCATCAAAGAGGCAAAGAATTTGACAGCGGTGAAGTCAGGAGGCACTTCTGATAGCTTTGTAAAGGGGTAATTTTGTTCTAACTCATCTTAGAAGATACTTAATGGGAGTTGAGAAGTTCTGTGACCCATAAGACAGGGTTGGCTGTGAGACTTCTGTGTTCATCTTACTCTAAATGGACAAGGAGAAAGCTACCTTAAATGCTGGCTTTTAGATATGAAACAACACGAGGTGAGGGGGCTCCTAATTCTAGTTTTCCCCTTGCTTCCAGCATATCTCAGGATTTCCCATCATTCTCACCCTCAATACTGGCAGATTTTCCTGTGAGATTCATTTCTCAGAGGAGAAAATATGATTTTCTCTGTAATATATTTATATTGTGCTTTGTTATCATTTGGTACTGGCAATAAACAACAAGAATATTGGATCCTTCATATTTTGCTCTCTTAGGGGAAATTGTAAAAAGTAGAAATTTCAGAGCACCCTCCCTGGAGATAGTGACTGGAGAGTGTTTTGGGGACAGCATATTTCTTTTTTCCAGTTTTTTTTTTTTTCTTGTGCTTGATTTCTAGTTTCATAGAATCATGGTCAGAATAAATGCATGGTATGATCTCAGTCTTCTCAAGTTTATTGAGGCCTATTTTGTAGCCTAACATGTGATGTATTCTGGACAGTGTTCCATACGTGCTTGAAAAGAATGTATATTCTTTGTGGAATGGAACATTCTGTGTACATCTGTCATGTCCATCTTGTCTAATGTGTCATTCAAGGACACATTTTCCTTATTGATTTTCTGCCAGGATGCCTATCCATTGATATAAGTAGGGTGTTAAAGGTCCCTGCTATTGTATTACCATTAATTTCTCTCTTTATGTCCATTAATATTTGTTTTCGTATTTGTATTTAGGTGTCCCAATATTGTATGCATAGATAGTTACAATTGTTATACCCTCTTGTTGGATTGATCCTTTTATCATTATGTACTGCCCTTCTTTGTCTCTTGTTACAGTCTGTTTAATTTTTTTAATTTTAATTCAGTTAGCCAACTTCTAGTACTTCATTAGTTTCAGATGTAGCAATTAGTGATTTGTCAGTTGCATATAACACACAGTGCCCATCATAGGGATACACTCCTTAATGCCCATCACCCAATTACAGTCTGTTTTAAACTCAGTTTGGTCTGATATAAATATTGTTTTTTCCAACTGCTTTTTTTTTTTTTTTTTTTGCTTCCATTTTCATTTTAAAATTTTTTTTTTCCCATTTCTTTTTTTTTTTTTTTTTTTGCTTCCATTTGCATGGTAAGATCTTTTTCATCCCTTCACTTTCAGTCTTGTATGTATCTTCAGGTCTGATTTGAGTCTCTTATAGACAGCATAAAGATGGATCTTGTGGGGTTTTTTTGGTCCATTCCGCCATCCTCTATCTTTTGGTTGGAGCATTTAGACCGTTTATGTTTAAAGTAATTATTGCCATGATGTGCTTGGAACTAGAGGGTATTATGCTAAGTGAAATAAGTCAAGCAGAGAAAGATAATTATATGATTTCACTGGTATGTGGAATTTAAGAAACAAAACAGAGGATCATAGGAGAAGGGAAGGAAAAATAAAATAAGATGAAATCAGAGAGGAAGGCAAACCATAAGAGACTCTTAACTATAGAAAACAAACAGAGTCCCTGGAGGGGTGGTGGGTGGGGGGATGGGATTACTGGGTGCTGGGCATTAAGGAGGACATGTGATGGAATGAGCACTGGGTGTTGTATGCAACTGATGAACCACTGAACTCTACTACTGAAACTAACAATATACTATATGTTAATTGAGTTTAATAAAATTTTAAAAATAAGGTAATTATTAATAAGTAGACACATACTGCCATTTGTTCATTGTTTTCTGGTTGTTTTGTAGTTCTTCTCTGTTCCTTTGGTTTTCTCTTGCTCTCTTTCTTTGTGGTTGGTGAGTTTCTGTAGTGTTATGTTTGACTTTCTTTTTCTTTTTTTTTTTTTTGTCTATTTATTACAGGTTTTGGGCGTGAGGTTAATTCTTTGAGTCAATGACATTATTGTTCCTCTCATCAGTCCTTCTTAAAAAACTGTAATTGACTCTGTAAGAAAATGAGTCAAACTTTTACCCTCACACATTCTAATTTTGGTAAAGCCAGTAGTAAGGTGAAGCAGATATCTGGGGCTTTCCTGCTGGTGAATGTGTGGGCCTGAGTCCCGGTTCATCTGTCCTTCATTTTTTTTCACAATAGTTTTAAGCACAAAAGAAATGCTTTATTTGGATCCTGTGACTACGACTTGCCTCACCAGCCCCACCATCCTGTTCAGGCCTCTTCCTGCCCACTGTCTAATGGGATGAGGGAATGGCTCCTCACCTATGGCCTCATTGTGGCCTTGCAGGGGTGACTAACATCTTTTGAAATAGTTTTCACTATATCATGTTGAACATTTACAAAACAGAGATAATAAAGGATGATATCTTTATTCTATAGTGAAAAAAAGGCCAGTGACTTTCTAGTAAATTCTCTCTCTAATTACACTTAAATATTGAGCTGATCTTAAAGGAAGCTCAGGGTTTTTTTTCTAAGAGTGCATTAGAAAGGGGGCACCTGAGTGGTTCAGCTAGTTGAACATCTGACTCTTTGTTTTGATTCAGGCACTGGTCTTGGGATCCTGGGATTAAGCCCTGCATAGGATTCTATGCTCAGTGGGGATTCTGCTTGAGATTCTCTCCCTCCCTTTCCTTCTGCCCCTCCCCAACATGCTCACTCTCTCACACTCTCAAAATAAATAAATCATTAAAAAGGAAAGAGAACATCAGAAAGCAAAATTTCTTTCTCTCGCATGTATACAAAGACAAAGGGTAAACCATCTAGGGCAGGTATGAAAGCATCATGATAATTAGGGACTCTTGTTTCTTCTATCTTGGGGTCGTATCCACCTCATGGCCAAGATCGCTGCTGGAGTATCAGCTATCCCATCTAAATTCCAGCTGTCAAGACAATTCTCAGAAATTTCATGCAGAACAACTTTCTATATTCTTTGGGCGGGATCTTAGTACATTGGCTATGCTGGCAGCAAGGGAGGCTGGGAATGTAGTCTTTATTCTGGGCAATCTTGTGCCTAACTTAAAGAAAGAGTCTTTTTAAAGAGTAAGGAGAGAATGAATATCGAGGGAAAAGCAGTCTCTTCTTGGTACATGAAATGAAATCGTAAGTGTTGCAGGGTGTCTTCTTTATTTTAAGTACCTAGTACAGGAGATATTTTCATTTAGAGAAGAGGGAAGGACCAAAATAGGATTAGAAAGGAGAGTACAGGCATTTTCTATTGTCCTACTTAAAATAAACAATAAAATCTTCCACTTAAATCTAGATGTAAGCATATAAGTACCTTGAAGAAAAAATGAAATACACACACACAGGCACCAAGAACTACGGGGAATGGAAATAACTACTCAAGGAAGCCATTTTCTGTTTTCCCCGATGGCTTGATTGCATTTTCTCTTGCAGCTACCTGCTCCCAGATGACAGCAAAGCTACCAAGCACAAAACTCTGGTGGTAAAGAAGAGTGTTAATCCTCAGTGGAATCATACTTTCATGTTCAGTGGCCTGAACCCCCAGGATATAAAGAATGTTTGCCTAGAACTTACTGTCTGGGACAAGGAGGCCTTTTCCAGCAACATCTTTCTGGGAGGAGTTCGTTTGAATTCTGGAACCGGTGAGGGACTTGGGGACCCTGAGATAGTGTGTGACTAGTGGTTCCTGTGGGTTAGTATGTAGGAGATGTACCTGTAGCTTCAATGTTTATATTCAGTCCTTTTATAAAATATCACTTACACTTTAGTCTAAGTGAATGTCAACTACTTTCGTGGGTGTTGTTTCAGGTTTTTCTCAGGGGAGGATCACCGAGACAGCACAGGCTTCTGATAGGGGAGAGAATGATTTCCAAGATCAACTTTACTTCATCCTCCTTCTGATAGGGGAGAGAATGATTTCCAAGATCAACTTTACTTCATCCTCTTCTCAGATGACTCACTGGTTGAATTGAAAGGAAACCCATTTTTCTCCCTAAAAAATAACACCTAATGTTGTTCAAACAGATTGTGGAAACATGCCGCTAATGTCACAAGACATGGCCACAACCGGGCAGATTGGAGGGAAATGATGGGGGCAGAGCACAGGTAGCCCCCAAGACCCTCATTATCCCATAACTTACGTCAGACACAGAGGGTCGATGTTGTGCACTGTGGTCAGTACTGTTAAGAACAACCCCACCTGTGTGGTGCTGTGCGTAGTTATAGATTAAGGAAAGCCAAAAATATCTATACCACTAAACCGAAAAGTCCCCAGGTTGCAGAAGCAGCCTTGTTAAAAAAGGAGAGCCCCAGAGCCCACTTTATCCTGTTCCTCTGTCCTCTTACCTCAGTCTCAATGAGCCAGCTCTCTGAGAGACTACCAGAGCAGGGGAAGAGAGGGGCCATGAGGGCCATCCTGCTTTGTTTCTCATTATCTAGGCAGAAGAGAGTAGTGCCAACTGCAAAGGGAGTCTCTTGTTCTAACACTACTCACGAGGTAGGGTGAGTGAAAACAAGCCAGTGAAGGACTCTGCTCAATAAGGCCCCCTCAGAGGTTGATAGGTGTCTTCCAGAAGATCTAAACATTTCATCTGTGAAGGGTAATGCTCCCTTGTCCCTTCCTGTCAGGTGTGAGCCATGGGAAGAGTGTGGATTGGATGGACTCTCAAGGGGAAGAGCAACGCCTGTGGCAGAAGATGGCGGACAATCCTGGGACTCCCGTCGAGGGTGTGCTCATGCTCCGGTCCAGCATGGGGAAGTGTAGGCTCTGAAGGTACCAGTCTCCAAAATGAGGCCTCCAGCCACTGTCTGGCTGCTGTTTGATCCCAGTATTGGTCTTGCGACCTGGGATTCTGCTTCCCTGCCATTTTTCACCTAAGGGTATTGGGACACGTGAGTAGGGATGTCCACGTTATGAACATTTAGAGTCTCGCTGAGTGTCACAAAGAGCATGTACCTCTATGTGTCCAGGGACCAGGGCCTTTTTGATTGGATGGTAAAAAGTGTGCCACACTGTCCTGTCAACGGCAAGTTATGCAATGATTCATAGACTTTATGCCATAAGGGAAATAGTACAAGCTTCAGTACAAACTACAGTTGAAATTTGGAATCCCTAAACTTTTTCTATTACTGAGTTATTTTACATTTCCTAAAATGGTTTGAGGGTTAAAGGGGCCACTTATAACGTAGATCACTTGAAGAGTAAGAAGGAATACTGACTACGCTTTCCTCACCCTGGGAATTCCCATAATCCCTAAAAGGCATTGTGGGGATGGTTGCTCAGACAAGGAGATGGCCCTGTTATTATAGCAAACTTGTGGATTAAGAAGGTAAGTTTTCAAGATGAACGGACAGGTTTTTCTATGGTGATTATATAATCTATAATCTAAATCAGCCCAGTTTTGAGAGTGAAAAGAACTAGATCTTTCTATCCGAACAATAGATGTAAACCAGGATCGACCAGGGAAAATGGAGACGTAGTGTCACCCTAATTATGACTTAGGAATTAGAGAGCTCCATTGTAAATATCTATTTTGTAAAATATTCTAAGCCACTGACTACAAGGGAATAAGAACTAATGTACATTTTGAGCCCCTGCATGTGTCGTATCTACTGATATCCCACTGGTCAGAGGAAGTCATATGGCCAAGCCTAAAATCAGGAGGCAGCGAAATCTACTCTGTTCACGGTGAAGCCATGGCAAGCATGAGGATCCAGGAAGGGAAGAAGAATCAGTAGTTCAGTAGTTCAATCTACTTTACCTTCTATTAGCTGGAATTCCAGGTGCATCAGCCACCAAAGTTAGAGGCAAAGATAGTTAAAGTTGAAAGGTACTTCAGACCTGGTTCCTCATTTTGCATATTCCAAACCTGAAGCCCCTAGAGAGCTGAAATGACTTGCCCAAGATCGTATAGAAGCCATGATGGTATCCAGACTTAAATCCAGGGTGTGACTTGTCAGCCAGTGTTCTTTCTACTGTAGCCCTTGGCATAATCTTACACTTCTCAGGGTGGATTGGAGGGCAGAGATGAAGGAAGGTGGAGTGGAGTTGGGTTATTTCAGTATGAAGTATCTGCCTCACTCTTCTTCTGGAGTCCTATTCTAGCCCCTCAGTTCATTTTTTCACTTGAATTCATATAAAATCTTCAAAAAGGTAGAAATGGAATTTTAGTGATATGAAAGCTAGAATCATCTTCAGGCTTATTCAAGCTAATTTTTCCCATATTCTGAATTTCTTCTTGAATTTTAAAAACTGAAATAAGAATATATTTAGTATTATTCTTGGGAATAAGCAGTCCGTTTTCAATATTATTCAAAAATAGGCTAATTCTCAAAAATTGAACTTATTGGTCAGTTGTAGCTTAGTACCTAGGGAACATTTTTTTTTAACTCAACACCCATATCCCTGTGCTACTCTTCTTAAAAACAGAAAGCTAAAACTGTAAGATCATCACTACTTCCTATATTAGAAAAATTAATTGTCTTCAGACTTGATCTGACTCATTCTGTCTGCAGTGACATTTTTAGGGTACATGAGAGGGTGATGTTGGTGACGTCTGGAGACCTCTCCAGTGTAAACAAACTAAACTATATTTATTCACTAATCATAGAAGTGGCAAAATAATAAATTCCAAAATGTATACCTTGGACTCTAGATGAGCATAACTCTATGAGTTCAGACCTTTGCCACTTTTAAAGCAATTCTCTATATTATGTTTTCATAAAATCCAATATCTAATTGGGTATTTCCATAATGCAAAAACCCAAGTATGCAGAAGTCCATCAGAAAACTGCAGTGGTATTCTCAGAAAGAAAAGGTGAATTGACCATTAGGTCACTCTGTTTTACTAAGTGTTGTGTACAAGTACAAATATTTTTAAATATAGGTAATATATGTGAATGGCACAAAAGTTAAATAGTTCAAAACTGCGAAAAGTAAGTCTGCCTTCTTTATCTTCCCTAGCAGAAATGATTGATAGCCTCATTCTTTCTTATGGCTATATTAGGTGTTGCATTATAGAGATATGGCACATTTATTTAACCCCACCTATCAAATGCCACATTACATATGGTTAACTTCGCTACCTACATTTGGTGGCTTTTCTGAGCAACCTTTCAAACATCAACACTTTCACATTCAAAATGAGGCATACGTATTATACAGCCATTCCACTTTTGGGTGTTTATCCTCTAGAGGTGGATACAGATGTGAGAAATGAGTACATACGAAAGTATTTATTGCAAAAGATAGGAAACGATCCAACAGCCCATCAGTAGAGGCCTTCTATAATATCATATATGCCTACTTTCTCTGTTTCATTAGTCTCCCTCTCCTTCTCTGCTGAAGATCGCTCAGTGATAAACTCTGGATTCTCTAGTGCTTGTTCTTTCCTTCCTCCTCACTTCAAACACCCTCTCGGGCATTATCATGTACCATGCCTCCGTGGGTTTCTGTGCTTATAACTTCACACTCGCATCTCCAACCCACACCATTCCTCTCAGCCCCAGACCCAGATCCAGCTGCCCATATGACATAGCCACCAGGACAGCTTGTGTTTTCAACAGAGTCAAGACTGAACTCTTCATTAGAGCCGTCCTCTTGTACCCATTTCTATCTACTTCAGTACATCCTGTCTCTCTACCTCATACCCTCCTCTATCCAGTCACCATAAGTAATATAGTTTCAGCCCAAGATAGTCACCCCACCCTGTGTCAGCACAGATAAAGGCACAGAGGGTGCTCTCCAGCCCAGTTCTCCATATCACCTTCTCAGAAGAGACCTTGGCCTTGCCTGGAGTGTCCTCCTCCTTATTTGGAGATCTCGGCCCTCAATTTTCCCTCATATGAATCAGACAAGTTGTAAAGGGCCGTGAGCAAGCTTTAAAGCCTGACTTTATCCATTCGGTTTGTCAACAGCACTTGCAGGACACATGGAAGATTATCTGCCAACTCTCATTTCATTCACACGGTCACTGGAACTGGAATCATTGGGATGCAGATTTTCCAGGTCACAAAAATGCCAAAAGCGAAGCTATTTCGTGGGACTTCATATTCCTGGCCTCTTTTTTCCTTAATAAACTTATACGAATTCATGACCAATGATCATTAAGTACTTAACTAACTAATGGATGAATTGAACCTACCTGATTCACAGTAATAGGGGTCTCGTCATCACCTGCTACCCTAAGGTTTCCATTTGCTGGGGGAGGAGAAAGTTATGGATGAAATAAGGGCAAATCCCACTTTTAGAAACAGAAGAGATTGAAATATCAAGTCACCCCAGAAGTATCTCAGAGTAAAAGCCTATGGCATTTGGGACTGTGATCAGTGTTTATTTTTTGTTCTGTATAGATATTTCACATCACACTGAGCATTGCCCTTAGGAGTTGGCAGAATGGCTTCCAATGGCTTCCAAAGCCATGGAAATTGGGCTGCATCAAGGATTCCAAAGGATTGTCTGAGTCATCTGGAGTGTGAATTTAATACACTGATTCCAGAGCATTGTCCCAAACCTACTGAATAAAATCTCCAGGATTTTAGCAAGCTTCTTGGGTGATTCTAATACAAATGGATCACAGTTTGAGAAACACTGCATTAGAGGACAGAATAAGTCGACTGTATTCTTTGGGCTAACTCTATGTCATGATGGCAGATTGGATTTGGTTAACCTGGATGTTGCTCATTGCAAGGCAACCATAGTGAGGTAAAAGGAGCCTAACCTCGGACTTAGAAGATGTTAGCTCAGGTCTTGACTACTTACCAACTGTGTGACCTCGGTCAAATTAATTCTCCAATCTAGGCCTTGATCTGTTTACCTGTAAAGTAGGAATAATTGGGTTAACTTGGAGTTACCGAAGACATGAAATAAAGTAATATATGTAAATATGCTTTGTAAATTTTAATGCACTGGCCAGGGGGAAGGTCATTGGTGAGCTAGTTATAACATTCTGTGGTTCATAATCTCTTAGGCCCTTCTTTTCCTAAATGCTTCATTAGGGCTTAATCATTCCATGTACAGTGAAGTGGTTTCAGCGTACAGCAGAGATATAAGAAAGAAAAAAATCCTTATTTTGTGCCATGTGACCTATTGTGGGTGGTAGTAATTTATTTATTTTAGGCTGGAATTTCCTGCTTCATTTGACAAGATAATAAATATTTCAAAATGTGTTTTATTTGATGGACAGAAAAACTGTGGTCTATTTTTTAATAAGTTGTGGAATCTGCAAGCAAACCATGTTGTTGCACCTTTCCTTAACACCTTTTCCATTGGGAAGACCAACTCTTTCTGTGGCCCATTGCCTAGCCTTCATGCCATGGAGATCAAACCTGCCTTCCTCCCAGGGATGCTGTTGAGAATCATGCTTTTTATTTGCAGAAGGAAATGTACCATTCTGTTGAAACAAATTCCACAGAAATACAAGCCACTGTTGTCATTATGAGAAAAGCATAGTGTTTCAAAGATTAACAGTCGTACCTCATTTACCTCACGAGAATTCATCAAGCTATTCTGGTAGAGAGTTCCTTTCCCACTTGGATAAGGGATGTGGAATATATAGTTAGTATTGCCTGTAAATGACAAAACACTCACATAGGGTAGTAGATCTTCTCTTTCTCTTTAGTAGTTCAGCACAAGAGACTTAGCTCTGCTTTCCTTTTTTCCTTGGTTGAGGCAAAAATCAATACAGCAAGCAAATAAAATATTATTATAGTTAAAGCAGAAGTTTAAATCTTTGGCATTTGTGAGGGGAAAAAGTCTCCTTCTAGAAGGGCAGAGAATTAGATGTGTGTTTGAATATAAATATTTTGTTTCATCCCTTTATGGTTTATCTGCTTACTTCAGGGAAGGAATCTCATGCCTCCTTCCGTGCATTTTTTTCTGCTTAGCCAAAGATTCCTTTTGTCTTAAGAAAGTTGAAACTTGTTTGTGCCAATCCATGAGAAGGGATGAGGCCCAACAATACAACTTTTTAAATCTCTCTCATTTGGAAACGAGGAAGGGAGGGAGCCATTCCATTACAAGGCAGATTATGTCCATCATTTATGGTTCTTTTTTTTATCATTTCCCCATATTCTTTATTCATAAATGGACATTTTTGAAGAGAGATCATTGGTTTCAGTGGATGTGAAGAAATAGATGTCTAGGCTTTCTTGAATCTTTTTGCTTTTGACCTGCCTCATCACCACCAATTAATCTTTCCTCCTTAATTCCTAAAGCTCTTCTTACATTGTCCCTCTGACTGATGGAGTGGTCTACAAGAATCTCAGGAGATGCCCAGAAGCCTTTTTTTTTCCACATGGATTAATGGAAATATTGTTAATTTTTAGCTTTTTCCTTTCACTTCCAAACCCAGCTCCCTAAGAGTCATAGGTTTGCAAAGCATCTGAATCCACAAAGCCAGTTTGCAGGGTTGGATGGGGACTGTCTTGGCTACTTTCCATGGTGATAAGGGGCACGACACATCCCTGAAAAGGTAATGAGGTATTGAACTTCTCTAAGGAAAAGTACAGTATTATGGTATTTCAGTAGGTAAGTGAGGAGGGAACCCCATGCCTGGAGAGCAATTCATGGTTGATAAATTCCAAGAAAGGTCTCTCTAGAGGCAAGGTTTTTGTTTTGTTGAGTAGGGAATACAGTGTGGGCCAGACCTGAATTGCTAAGGATGTAGGGAAAGGAGAGGGGAGTTACCTGCATTGGGGGTTTCCATTGTACCCCTTCCACCAGGCAGGTGTTCCTCAAAATAAATGCTATACAAATATTTAAACAACCCCTTAGAGGGGCACCATATCATCAGGGCAGAAATGGGCCCAACTGAATGCACTAGATCTCCATCCCTACATTGAGGGTCATTGTCACAAGCAGGTTAGGGATTTTGTTGTTGTTGTTGCTTTTTCTGGGCCTGAAGATGAGTCTAGGAGTTTAGCCAACTAGAGA